GCCAGCACTTACTCTTTTGTGCAGCACATGTGACAATGAAGGACAGATGTATCACCTTGATGGTTGTGCTGTTGGGGTCCTGATTCCAGCATTCACGAGTCAGAGGAAGGTCCCTGCTAAGGACAGACCTTAGGAGGGCAGTTGGTCCAGGACACACACCTGCTTTCCTCCTGTTTGCTGATCCTGCCTTGGGTCTGTAGTCATAGTTCTGGAAATTTCTTTTGGGTCCAAGACTAGGAGGTTCCTCTAAGATCTCATGACCCTGCTTCTTCCCAGTCCCCTCACAGGACATTTTCTTGCTACAGGTGGAAAAGGAGGGAGCTACTCTCAGGCTGCGTGTAAGTGGTGGGGGTGGGAGTGTGGAGGAGCTCACCCATCCGGTAATTCCTCCTGTCCCACGTCTCCTGTGGGCTCTGACGAGGTCCTGTTTTTGTTCTACCCCAGCCAGCGACAGTGCCCAGGGCTCTGATGTGTCTCTCAGGGCTTGAAAAGGTGAGAATCTTGGGGTCTAGAGTAGGCTGGGGGGGTGGGGGTGGGGCAGAGGGGAAAGGCCTGTGTAATGGAGATTCTTTGATTGGGACGTTTCAAGTGTGTGGTGGCCTGTTCAGAGTGTCATCACTTACCATGACTGACTTGAATTTGTTCATGACTGTTGTTTTCTGTAGCCTAAGATAACTGTCTTGTGTGGGACTGAGATGCAGGATTTCTTCACGCCTCCCTTTTGTGACTTCAAGAGACTCTGGCTTCTCTTTCTGCAAAGGCATCTGAATGTGTCTGTGTCCCTGTTAGCATAATGTGAGGAGGTGGAGAGACAGTCTACCCCTGTGTCCACCGTGACCCCTGTTCCCACGCTGACCTGTGTTTCCTCCCCAGTCATCTTTCCTGTTCCAGAGAGGTGGGACTGAATGTCTCCATCTCAGTCTCAACTTTATGTGCACTGAGCTGCAACTTCTTACTTCCCTACTGAAAATAAGAATCTGAATATAAATTTGTTTTCTCAAATATCTGCTATGAGAGGTTGATGGATTAATTAAATAAGTAAACCCTAGAATTTCAGAGAGCAAATAAAGACCTAAGAACCTTCCAGAATCTGCATGTTCGCTGTGTTGAGTCTGTTGCAGGTGGGGGTGGAAAAGGCTGTGAGTAGCCCAGTGTGGGCTGGGCCTGTGCCTAGTTGCTGTTCAGTTCTTCATGGACTTTATGTGGTCAGTCCTCAGCTGGGTCACCTTCACTGCTCCATCGTCCTTGTCCCATCAGTGGAAACTTGTCCAGTGGGAACTGTGACCACAGAGGCTCAGACATCGCCCAGGGTGGCCCCTGAACACGGGGGTCTCTGTGCATTGAGACAAGTGTTCAGAGCCATTCACCTCCTGCCCTGCTTCTAGAGCTTCTGTTCTGCTCTGCTCTCCTGCCCTCTCTCCCTGCCCTGGTTCTCGTGATCTTGGTGCTGAATCCAATCCCAACTCATGAATCTATAAAGCAGAGTCTAATTTAGACTTATATTTGTCTCTGAAATTGGACCCATCATCAAGGACTGTTCTTTCCTGAAGAGAGAATCTGGTTGTGAGCTGCAGTGTGCTGTGGGGGGTGGGCACCAAGGGAGTGATTGACTGTGGAAAAGAATGAGGGCAAGGACTGAACCCTGGACCTCCAGTTGTAAGGGATGTGATCAGACCACACCCAGAGCAGACTGCACAGTTCTGACCCCAAGTCTAGAGGACACTTAGGCAAGGAACTTCCGTGTGTACAGGGATCACCCGGACGTGGTGCTGAGATCCAGGAAGTCTGGAGTCGAGCTACAGATTCTGTATTTATGACAAGGCTGGAGTTCATGTTGCTGTTCTCCAGATTACACTTGGAGTATCAAGAACAGCAGGATCCCACATGTCTGAGCATCAGCTTCATCTCTAGGGCTTGTTATATAAACGATTCCTTGGTCTTGTG